TGGGACTCATAAAAGCAAACTTTTGTTAGGCAATTTAGACCCACAATAATAATCACATGATAGTTCTAGGGTCCTACCCTTGGGAAGGTTTTTTCAAGGTTGGCAGTTTGAGCAGGAATAGAAAATGAGTCAAATATGGGTCGTAGGGATTCGGATCATGAACTTGGGATTTAAGATTAGCATGTAGGGCAGGGTTAAGTCGAAACCCAAAACCTTCAACCTTAAGGCCATTCTGGGACCTGCGAAAAGGGGCGTTTCAAGAAATCTGAAAGCGCTTTTGCGCGAGGTTGTGTAGACACATGCTTGGGAATGCGAGGGAACAACAGGAGATGTTCCAGTCCGCATCTTACCACTTGACGTTTCGCCGTTCTATCCGGCAATGTTCCGGTATGCTGACTATTTTTCTTACTGCTTTTGCTGTCCATCCTCAGCAATTCGATGCCGGGCTCATGGGTGGGACATCGTTTTGAAAAGGCTTTCAGAGAACTGCTGGACTGATGCAAGGCATGCAGTTTACCTTGAATGTTCTGAAGGTGGACTTCGCATTGCGGGGTCCATCCCATAAGAAGCAGTACTTGTGTGCAGATTGGCGTGCGGAAGTTTGTCAGATTTACCCTGTAGAAACTGTAATCTTTCAATCAATCCCATTGCAGTCCGGCAGGAATAGGGGCGCCATTCCGTACTGCACAAAATATTAATGCTTCCTTACAGCATTCTCAGAAAGAGCGAGCCCGGCATGTTCTGGACACGTCCGATTGTATCTCCAAGGTTGCTAATAGACCCAGGTCAATTTTTCTCCTGACAACTCCTTCAACCCTAAACCTAAACCGGGTATACGAGGTAGCCGCAGCACGCATTGCTTTCCAGGTCAAGATCGAGCCCAGGATTCTTTTCTAGGTTTTCCAGTTTCAGTAACCCTTTAATAATAAGGGTACCCTTTTTCCTACTATTCAGCTTTAATAAGGAGACCCCCAACAAAAAGGGGAAAAGGGTACAACTGGGGTACCTAGTTTTACAACTGCCTAACAACCATCAGCGAAGGCAAGGTTGGCGTTGGAGGAGTGAAAGCATCACAGCTTAGGGTTTAGGATTTAGGGGTATATGAACGGTAGCAGTAATTCAAGGATTTATCATAAAAAAAATCGTTCTCTTGGCATCTATGATGGTATGAATGCCTTCCAGCTATAGTGTTCGTCACCCTGCTTCAGCCCCTTCATAACGTTCCGAGAATCATGAGTCCCAATTAGGCGGGCTTAGGGCTTGGGGTTTAAAACCCCATGTATAACCTACACTCTACTCTCCCTGAGCCTTCCTTACTGGAAGTTAGAAGGGAAAAAGGGAATATAATCCCTAGATCATCCCTATATACTATATTCCCTTATTCCCTCCTAACCCCCTGTAAGCTTCAAGTAGCGACACGTGGGTTTTCTACCCTGTCGCAGGCTCCAACGTTCCGTCACTTTCCCAGGCCGTCACTTGTGCTGGTAATGAAGCTTGAGCGCCTTCAACAGGCCAAATAATTCAGAGTTTAGGCTGTAAGGTTGACAATTACAAAAACATGTCCCCAATATACTATACCCTATATAATCCCTATAACCCCAATATAACCCTACATAGCCCCTAATCTTGTAGTTCAGAGTTTAAGCTTCAGCTTTAGGGCTGCAAAGTCAAGGACATTTCTTGGGGTGTAAGCTTACATCAACATTGAAGAAACACTCTACGAAACACATCCAGGAATCATGGAGCACGTTCCTTGGCTATGCTTTTCAAGCTTGGCCAAAGGTGGCGCTGATTCACCCGTATTGTACTTCAGAAATAAAGACCTACACCAAAATGCAATCCAGATACGTGTCAATTGAAGACTTGGATCTTTGAACCTCCCGGCAGGAGCCATGTGGTCGAAGAGTCGTCTGCGTCTACTGGGATGGGCGGCAACTCCTCCATGGGCTTACGAATTGGACGAAACCCCTCAGGACGCCTCGAAAACCAACTAGAAAGCAAATAAGTCCTTGCCAAGGAGATGCACCATCCAACCTAATCCTTTGCATCCTCATTCTTCATACAAAAGATTGGCTAACACTTCAATGCTTCCTTCTTCTCATGCTTGATGTGTTCCACAAACCTCTGCGCTTGATTCCACGGGAACGCGATGCCTTAGGTCTCTGTTAGTCTGGCCAAGGCAATCGGAAGGCGTGCATGTTTAGTAGGCTCTTTTTGGGTATCTCAGTAATACCATGGTCTTTCGCAGCACGGTTCGTTAACATTTGATACTAACCTTACTTCTGCAACCTCGCAGTCCTTGCGATCATCTACGCTCCCGTGCTGTCATGCGCGAGAGCAAGAGACTAACAATAATAGGTATAACCCCTACATATTCCCTAGTTTCCATTTCATTTTCCGTGTTCCTTTCCATTTGTCTCTCCATTCTTGGACCCTAATGATATAACACCAAAAAGATAGCAGACAGCATCTGACCCCCAACCCGCAGGCCCTAATCCAGAACTCCAGCCCTCGGCCCAGCTGCGATTATGAAAGACGTCGGAGGGCAGCAAATCGGGCACAGCCTGGTGCGGGGCCCAAAGCCAGCATGAAAGCTCCCAAAACCCCGCATTCAAGGGGCAGAGGTATTCAGGAGCCCGTCTGGTGCTTCCCTGTTTGTTTGTACCCAGGGTTTACTTGAGGCTTCATGTCTGTACTGTTAAAGTCCCTAAAGCAAACGCGCAATTCCGGCCTTGTTGGCCACAGGGGACTTGGGCTCTGCCGGCATGGCCACGACGCTCACAGACCCGCGGAGGGTAAGGATCCAGGCGGCGGCTGCGCGATAAGTCTAGTGGTATATGTCAAGGCAGCCCTAAACCCTAAACGATGTTCAGAATCGCTAAACCCTAACCGATGCTCAGAATGGCCATAACTGAGATAATGCGTAGCGCCCGCATCGTGCTGCTTAAGAGCGCATGGACTTTGAGCCATTTCAGCCAAGGCAAATGAACTCACCTAGAACCAGTGAAAGAACCCCGACTAAGTCCTAAAGAATAACGAAATCAGGGTACAACTTCAAGTATATCAAGATACAACCGTCTTGGCCGAAGCCCTGATCTTCAACAACAAAAAATCTGGTGCAACAAACTTGCTCAGGTCCAGGCCATCTGCATCGCCTCTGCACCTTGCATCTATCGAGCTTATAAGCACACATGTCAGCACCGGGGTTCGCGGCCTATCATCTAAGTCTAGAATCGTACTGCCTAGCTGCCTACATTGGGCAGTAAAATTTACAAATGTTACCTACGTTGGCAATTCGGAGCGAGAGGGTGCAAAGGTTCAGAGTATCTCCCAGCGTTAGCTTCGGAGGCTGAGACGCTACAACTTAGGGGTTTGTTGTTTTTAGGGTCTCACGCTGCAGGGGCTGGCTAACTTCCTCAAAGGCGTCTGCCTCAGAGAAGGCCTGGACATGAGGGGATCTACCTCACACGTTGACGCTACTTGTGTTGGCTATGCTTCAGAACAAGTGTGCGCAAAAGGATCCAGGCAAAAATGAGCGCCGGACCTGCTTCTCAAATACTACACTTTGCTCGGGACCCCTGCCAATTCAACACGTTCCATAGAAGAGCATATATATATATATATATGCCGGTGGCCATTTTTAACGCTAGCGGTTCATGGTGGGGTGCGTGAAACCCCAACAAGACAGGAATACTTGCAGTAATTATGCCATGCTGTTCGTTTGAATCTAACTTGCTACGCCCAAACACAACTCCACAAATTTGAGTACAGAGCTACTCCTTGCTGACCCTCCCAGGCATTCAAAAACAATAGCGCATGTCTAGAGAGATGCTCCTTGCTAACCTGTGCAAACATTGAAGAAATGGCGCGTATCACGCTTTTTGTATCTTGCTTCCTGCATTGCAGCAAGCTGAGTAATGAGTTAAATTTGAGCATGCTTTTTCAGGCGACCGGATGCAAACGCTTGTGACCAAGCTCCCGATCTGTTCCTTCAGCGATCGCCACCTCCCTCGACCCCTCACCCCTTGTTATCACCCTTTGCATGCAGCCAACCCCATTGCTCTACAGTGTAACCGTCAGACAGGTCGACCAAGGCCAAAAAAGGTGATACCGTGCACCTCATGGGGTTCTACTTCTTGAACTCCTTAAGAGGTCTGAACAACAGCATGCAGACCTTCACGTGCAGGCATATTTTGGATCTGTGCGTTGAAGACTTGGTAATGCTGAAAACTGCAAAACCTGGGCAGTTGCTCCACCTGAAGATGGCCTGATGTAGCCACGTCTCGTGGAATCTCGCGACTTCGGCATGTTCAAAACTCTGGGTGCCGTCATATACACCAAAGTGCTACCTTTATTCTGTCTGATGGAGACTAAAAGACCATCCCTAGTTTCTGGACGCCCTACTTTGCTGAGATTCTGGCGTTCCAGGACCATTTTCAGGGCTGCAGGTCTTGCGAGCACCTGTCTTGCAGGCGCCCAAGGGGGAGTGGACCCCTACAACCCAGAAGAAGATGTTCCCGAAATCGAGCCTAGATAATACTTAAGACCGTTCTTCTTTGAAATGCAGTAAGCTGTCTGCCTGCACATTGCTTAGGCTTGAACAGCTTAGAGTTAATTGCTGGAGTTTTCTCAAAACGGGGGGCGTCTTGGAACACACGGAAGAAGTCCTAGCAGGGAATCTTTACAGCAGCTTGAAAAACATTGCAAAGTCCCACAACGAAGTTCTACATCCAATGCATCTAACAACTGCGTGGAACCGCAGAGCCACAGGGCCGAGGTGAACGTGCGTCTAGTGCTGCATCTAGTCACTAGTCCAGCTTCTCATCACAACTGTCGCAGTACAATTTCATGTCTCGTTGCTATAAGCCGTTTTGCAGGGAATAAAATCATAACAAGAAAGTGCACAGCGACAACTTTCGCGCCTAATTGGTCAACCTCCCGCGCTTTTTTGACTTCTCGACGTCGCATTCAAATCAATCGAAACAGCACGCTCACCTTGGCTACTTCGGCCTCCATTGCTGTCCACGTCCGCCACCTTTTCCTGGTCGCCACGGCTTCTCCTGGGACCAGGAAACCAGGGTTCCCGTATAATCCACCCTTAACAAGGAGTGCTTGAAGGTCTTCAGACCTTTTGGGCTATTCCAGTCTTGAAAGCGACGCTCATGCAAAGGTTATTCTGCCCGAAAGGGGGTTTTAACAACCGCAACCACTCGAATTGCGACAGCTCATTGGTCATGTCTTCGGCTGTTGAAGGACAGAAATTTTCTGCTGTTCGAAGCCTTCAACCCTAAACCCATACAGCCGAGACGCTTGCAGGGTGGAAGATGCTTGCAGCGCGTAGGCTGCCTTGCGCCTCTTCTCCTGCATGAGGAGGTTGGCCTCTTGACGCCTGCGCTGCTGCTGGACCTTAGTGGGGGTTAGGGTTATGGGTTTAGGGTATTACTAGTAGAGTATGGCCACACTTTTTCGTGCCTTCTCAAACTGGCTGTACCCCGAGGGACCCTGTGGAAATTTGCAAATGCAATGGGGCTGGAGCGACTCTTACCAGGGACAGTATATGGGAACATTTTGAGAGGCAGCCACATAGTGTCAAACGGTATACTCAGAGCAATCATGATCAAGAAAAACGCTTCGCGAAAATGGGTCCACCAAAATCAGCGACCGAAAAGTATTGAGTTCCCACTGACCTCCTTGGGAGTACCCATACACCTCAAATACTAAATCAACAAACAAATTTTGCTCCCCCGACCTCCTTGGGGAGTTTGATGGTCCCGGCTGGGGAAATCTGGCACACCGCCAGATCGCTGGGCCGGGCATCCCCACAGAAGGTATTTGAGGCTTCGTCGAAGCGTAGATACAAGCCTAGGTTTGCAATGTTCTCACATATCAGCTTCATAGGTAGTTAGACGCCAGGATACTTCAGCACTATAGCTCCTATTGTAGGATCTCCCAAAAACTGAGCCCTATGTGGAAGCCCTGAATCCTACATCTCCCCAACCCTACATAGGTCTAGATCCCCCAAACCCTAAACCATAAGATAACCCTATACTCTATACATCCCGTCTAACCCCTGTAAACGGTCCTAGCGTTGCAACCTAAGGGCCACTTCCGACGCCTTGGAGGCAAACAGTTTTGTCACCGGACCCCTGAGCTGCGCGGAAACGTGCCCAGGGCCCTGCAATTTGAGATATTCGGGGGTTCGGGAATTAAGGTTTGGGGTGTAGAGTGTAGTGACATTTAAGGCTGGAGATTGAGGGTTCAGGTTCTAGCAAGTTGGTTTCAGGGATAATTAAGGCACAGGGGTTTAGGGATTCGGGATTAATCAGGGTTTAGGGAATATGAACATGAAATGGAGAGGGCCACAGGGGCCTATCTCACAAAGGGTTCAGTAGGGATGTTGAGTAGGGCTCATTTGAGATTGTTCATGTAAATGTCCTCTTGAGAAGCTGAACTCCCCTCTCCTGCCCTAAACCCTTAGACAGTGTATATGCTTCAGGGTGGATGTCAAAGCACTTGCGCAGAGGTATTCTCACAACTGGGTTGCTGTTAAGGAACTTAATTCACGCTCCGATAATACTTTTGGTTATTGTGAATACTGATTTTGCTTATTAGAGTCATCATCAAAATTCCTTAGCAGCAACCCAAACAAATCTGATGAACCAACATGGAACTCATTGGACGAGGGGTCTATCTTATGGTAGTTTAGCAACAACACCGCTCCTAAAATAGTCCTCGGGAATATGATATCCTGTATATGTTCCCTGATAGACTCTTATAGACCTACAGGAAACGTAAATGATCTCCATACAAGACTTCAGATCAACCCGTACATGTATCTCTGCGCCGTCTAGGCGTGCAACAAAAGATTTACCAAAGCGGTAGTTGCTCAAATATTTCGATGCATTCGCAGCTTCAGGTTTTTTACAATCTACGTGTATCTGGTCTTCATAGTCCACTGGTAGCCATAGGGGACTTAGAGGGGCCTATATGTGCCACCACAGCCACAATTGGGTCGTAAGTATCTTGAACCTCCAAATACTGTGTACCTGAGAAGGTTTACCAACTCTCCTGTCCTCGCGCGCCGGCGAAGTCCACATGACCCCGCTGATGAATGCGCAAATGCCCCAGGAATGACCTCTCCTCTTCCGCAAGCACAAAGAATAACACTTCTCCAGTCCTTGGCTTGAGAAATGGTACTGTAAGGGCTTACATAAATACAAAGGTTTAGGGCCTTTAGGGCTCAGGGTTTAAGGTACAAAGTTCAAGTTCATTTCAGGGACACTACACTAGAAGTATTTAAGGAACCCAGGGCCATGACCTTGTTATTATTGTAGGCTTCTACACTAAGCTTACAAGGTATGGGGCCTAGGACTTTTAGAGATTTGCTGGTTAGATTTAACCTGGGCAGCCTTTGTATTTTTGGTTGTTTCCCGCACTCATAGCAACTGATAATGGTAAAAGACAGAAGCTGGGGCCCCCTAGGGCGGCGCTTTCTCAAACAATGATATCTAATTTTGGTTTAGACTGGAATCATAATAGAAATAATAATAGGCAATGAACCTGCAACAGGCCTCTGCAAATCGGACAGGGAAGGTGGCCGTATTTGCTGGGCACTCCTTGAAGTTGACTTGAATTAGGCATACCCTGAACCCTAAACCCTACGTGCTTGGGGCTGGGGATGCAGAACACAAAAGCAAACAATGCTAATGTTCTCAGACCCATTTTGACAGCCAATAGATTCCCCGATACGGAATGAATGCAATTTCTCTACATCTCTACGAGAGCGGCTATGCCCTAGAACGTATGACAAGTTCCATCATTCTGAGGATGGCGTGTTCACTTGCTAGATGCCCCCCAAGCACAGAATTCCGTGTCATGCGGTTTTCCAAAAAGGGCCGTAGAACTTGTGGTTCTCAGATTGCTCATGATGAGCACCAGGTGATTGACCTGCAGCCCTGGAATGAACGCACACAAACCTAAAAGCCCATCATTTAGGGTTTAGGGTTTGGGGTTTAGGGTTTAAAGTTTTGGGTGCTTAAAGGGTCCAAGTATGCAAGCAAGTCAGTTTTACTTCGACGCAAAAACACCGTGGGCTCAAGGATATAGTCTGTCTACGGACTTAGAGCCAGGAAGCACAAAACCGTCTCACTATGGATCCTAGTGCTCTTTAAGGTACTTTCCTTAACTGAGGGATATGTGGGTCTCTGGTCACACTTGGTGTTCACACTTATATACTAGGAGGTTCAAGGAACATAAAAAACCCACCGGCAACTGTAACCCTCTGACGGGACTTGGGGGCCCATCATTGGCCACACGACGGTATGATACAATCACAAGGAACCTGCCTTGATCATTGAGTGTTTCCCAAAGTTACGGTTGCCTGTGCAGGCCCCTAGAATATAAGGATCATAGTATTTGGGGGTCTATATTGGGGCCCCCCTAGGCCCCCCTATTTATGGAATCTACCCGTTATCCCTATAGACCAGAAGCCCCGATATACACCCAGCTTTGTTTTTGCTCCTTTTTCCCTTTTGATTCTCCGCCAGTCTATTCCTGCAAAACCCAGCAGCTTTATATGGCCTGAAAACCCTTACCTCCCTACATAACCTTTTGGAGGACAATTAAATTAACCCTAGTAACCCTAGACGCTAAACCCTAGGCCCTACACCCTAGCAACCCTAAACCCTAAGCCCAAAACCCTAGTAACCCTAAACCCTGGTAACCCTAGTAACCCACTAACCCTGAACCTTAATAGTCTTCAGGTCGGAGTCTGCATCTGCTCGACAAAGAGCTTGTGGCCACTGATGGAAACCACAGCACCCTCTGTCAGGGCTTCCAGGCCCTCCGGCGTGGCTTCAACCTGGAGATAAACGGACCACGGTAGGGCGGGGAAGGAGCTGCTGCTGCGGGAGAGGATACTGCTGGGGCAGTGGCTTGAAGGTTTGGGATTTCGGGTTGAAGGTTTAGGGTTTCGGGTTGAGGATTGAGGGTCTAGGGTCTAGGGTTGATGCTTTAGGGGATACACCGAGCCATTACTTCCCCTACCATCCACCCTCAGGGTTCCCACTTATGCTACGGCTAACTAAGCGGGGAACAAAGGGAAGCAGGATAAGGGGGGTTGTAGAGGAGTCCAGGACCCTTGTTTTCCTGACTATTGTATGAAAGATGTACAAACTTGCGAATCCCTGATTCTTTCCTACCAGGCCAACCCCGCAAACGCAAACAAAAAACAACTGTCCATCCTACGCTTCATCAGGGGTATCTCTCGCAATGAATCTCGCGCAAAGATTGATGAACCAAGCGGTACCGAAATTTACAGCAACCACCATATCTGTCTTACACCTACAGTTGTGCGAAGGCTCAACTACCCAAATCCCTAAATCTTCAACCCTAGTCCCTATTTGTCTTTGCACGAAGCGAATAAAAACCCTTAAACCCTGACCAAAACAACATACAACTGGCCTTAAAGTTGCTTATAACTGAACCCTTTTGGGCAGCATAGACTGCCTTGAAGGACCCTGGAGTTAGGTAATGCATTATAGCTTCCCTCCACTAAGCCACTTACAAAATACAAGCAGGTTCCCTAAAACATCGAAGTTTCCAGAACCCTAAACCCTAAACCCTAGATCCCTCAAAGTGTACAGATACTGGGACTAGGGGCTTGCTCCCGACAAAGCCCCATATAACTTAACTTAGGTGGACCCCCACCCACATCCAGTAATAGTGAGTATAAGGGATAATATGGGGTTTAGGGTTGGGTTTCAGTGGACCCCGCACCTTGTAATATTGGCTATAATGGATAATAAGGATTATATTAGGGCCCCCTTATGTTCCTACTATACCGCTCTGACAGAGTGGGGGGATCCTGCCAATATAATATAACTCTTCGCGACCCAACCCAACCACAAAACCTACTGTACATCAACCACTAAAATACAACAGAACTCCCAGGATTCTTCGGGTGCCCGCCTGTACATCTGCCTCTTCACCTAGAGCAGCGGCCTCTGCAGCTTCAACAGAAACCTTGCATTCTTTGGAGGGTCTACTGGTGATACTTTCAAGGCCCCCCAATGGTTTTGTCCCATTGTACAACAATACGGGATGTTGTCAATGATCCCAAAGTGCCGCCTGGTCTGCTGCTTTGCATTTTTGTGGGTTGAGAAATTGCTATGATCGGAGGACCTATGGAGTAAGCCGATGTACTATAGGCTGCAATCTGCTATGAGTCTCAAAGAACCCCAACAGACCATGGAGTCGAACTCCTCTTGCCACCTCATGACTTCCTCCACCTCCACCCCGCGCGACCCCACCCCTCAAGCCCCTAACTCGCCAACGCGTTATCGCCTACTGAACTGCTTCGAAGGTGGTGGTTGGGTGGCCTGGCAAGTGAGGAAGCAGATTGTAGCAAAATCAATCCAACAAGCCAAAATCGCTCATGTTGAGTCGGGCAGAGCATGCTAACATGAACATTGCATTACCCAAGTATGGAAAATCAAATGGAAAAGGGTAAATAACAACTGGGATGATGTAGGGTGCAAGGAATTATGGGGAAACGCCAAAATAGGGACCAGCCAATACGTGTATTCAAGCTTACCATTCGGACGGCGGTTTCCGTAAATGGGGGGCACTCAATTAGACCCGCAGCTCTACAGTCACTACTATAAGGACTGCCAAATAATTTTCGGAAAGTCTAAGCCCCTATATAACCTATGCAAACTCCGCAACCTCTTTAACAGGACTGTCGCGCCCGCCTCTTCCTGCACGGCCTCGAGCAGCTTGTCATCTGCTTTTGGCACCACGCCAACAAGTCCGCCTTGGTTTCTGCAACTTTCCAAAAACATCTATTACTAGTATGATTGCTGCTATTCTTATTACTATTGTTCTTACTGTCCCTATTATTATCACTATTCTAATTATCATTACTGCTGCTATTCTTCTTACTACTATCATTACTACTGTTACTTCACTTTCCCAAGCTAAGATGGAACCTCAAAAGGGCCCTATACCATACAGACCTTTTCGGAGGGGGTCTTTATGATGGCATGAGTTTCCAAACGAGCATCACTTTTTATCAGTCTGGTACGGCTTCCTAGACACATCGCCGGTGCTCAGTGGTATTTGGGTACTCTATGGCAAGTCCCTAAACCCCAAAAGTAGGTAAAATAATAGGCCTAAACCCATAATAACAGCCATAAAGGCCATCATTTTACATACTTTTGGGGTCCAGATACTCAGCAGCCCACTGCGATGAGGCTCCATGGATGCTACCCTGGCGTTTGAACTGTACCCGCAGGGCCAGCTGTCTTCAATAAGGTGACTCTTGTTACCTACACCATGTCATGAGAACCCATAAAAGTCATAGTCGAGTCCTTACGATAGGGGTTTGAGGACCACAAGCCCTCTCCTTATTGATCATCTTATTTACGTTAAGCAAGGCGATCATGATCACGGATAAGAACTCGACGCTAACATTTGGGGTTTTGTTTAGGTAATCCTCTATAGAATCTCCTAGCTGTAGCTGGGGCCAATCATCCCCTTCGAAGATCCACGTATCCCTGTGGCCCCTTGGGCGCAAGAATTGTTGAAACAATTTTTCGCAACATGAGGTCCGCTAGAGACACCTTGGATCTAAAGAGATCATAAAAAGGCTTTTTGGGGCCCTCATTAGTACCCTAAACCTTAAACCCTAAACCTAGTAGGAGCTTTCCAACCTTTTGTCGAGTTGCAGGATGACGCGGGCAGTCCCGCCCATAGCTCATCTGCAGGGACCTGCCGCTTCGAAGCGAGGACTTACCATCAGATATTTGAGGGCCAAACGAAGTGGGCTAATGATGATAGTGGTGATAGCAGCTGTAGCAGTAGCAGCACCAGCAGTAGCAGTAGAAGTACTAGCAGAAGCAGAGGAGTAGAAGCTAGGAAAATCAGGAGCAGCAGACGTCGTTGCAGCTGCCTTACTGGGTAGACATTCCGCGACAGACATTTACTTTCTAGAATCGCTCCCCGAAAAAAGACCATATACGTCACAATCTGGATATAACTTGGGTATACTTGGGTGTTGACCTGCTGACTTCCAGCCTGCTCGCCCTTTAGGACTTGGCTGTTCTCCAAGACCACTGCTCCCTCATGAAGCGTGGCGCCGGGCGACCTGAGGGAAGCTGTTTGCAGAGTGTGGAGCTTCAGGTCTCACGTTTAAGGCATACATGCAATCCCAACTACCTACAAGTTTATGGGTTATACCTACTAATCCGAGAAGTTAATTACTGCTAGACTATAGTGAATCACTGGGGTCACAGGTAAGGCTTAGGTGGTAGTTATCGGTCATGTTATGGCTCAGCATGGGTCACACGGCATTGGGTCTGGTTTTTTTCATCAAATGCGTGAAGCACATGCAGGGACCATTGCCGGCTGTTGGATAGTACCGCACGCTTTAACTCCCCCTGAGGTAGATAGAACATGGAGTCCACCAAAGCAATGATGAGAGCCCGATATACCCCATATTCTGTCTATTTAAGGGGACCATAAGATTGAGCTGGTCTTCTGCATCCAGGGGCGCGTCTTCTTGCTGTCCTCTCCGAGGAGTTATGTACACACAAACCGAAAGGCAATGACCTACGCCCTTAAACAAACCCGAAACCCTGAAGTGCCGCTAAGCCGCACCATGGAGTGCGGGAGCATGGAGGTATACGATTCAAGCACAGTAGGCGCCAGCTTGATCACCATGTTCTCCACAGTGTGGCACGTCGTATCACACTCCCATCCCACACAGCATCCATCACCTGGCGGGTGGATAGAAGAGGTGGCGATTTAGGGTTTAGGGCGTAGGTACCTACACAACCCCCTACAATAGTCCTTAGAACACATTCATTCAATAGCTATACTAACCACCAGCAAGTCGCCCATGGACAGCAGGTCGTATTCCAAGGCAAGGCCGAACAAGCAGCAGTTCTGACCCACCTTTGCACCCATCAGTCTATAGTACCACGCCAGAAACTCAGTGCCCTGAAGGGCATCTACTGCATCTTCCATCACTCCAGAGAGTATCATCATTACAGTCCAGCTTAGGTGGTACTTGCTAAAGAAGGTGTAGTCGCCCTCCTCGTACCTTGGCAGGATTCACAGGTAGGGATGGATGCTCATAGGGTAGTTGCCCCAAATGAGGGGAACCTAATATGGATCCCCAAGATATTCTAATCCTTATTATGGGGACCCCCCGAAAGGTACCCCTAATTTTCAAAAACCCACCATATTTTAGCAGCAGGATTACTCTGCAATGAGCATAGGTGCCGGGCTAATCAGCCAATGAAAAATGGGGGTTTCCCAAAATTAGAGGTACCTTTTTGGGGGTCCCCATAATAAGGATCAGAGTATATTAGGGTCTATATTGGGGTCCCCCTATATTTGGGGAAACTACCAAATGAAGTGTCTGCTCATGACCAAGGTACTTGCCGATGATCCACCACTTTAGCAGGTAGTTCAGCGACAACACGCCCAGACTGATGGAGGCGTACAGAAAGGGGGAAGCCAGAACCATCAAGACAAAGCCATAAGACGACCAGGTCTTCCAACACAGCTGGCCTAGTTCGACTGGAGCGAACCCCCCACGACCCACCACGAAGACTAGTTCACACTTGAAATAAGAATGGAGAACGGAAAGAAAACATACATGGAAAAGGACCCGGAAACTGTAAAAAGCGATTTCAAGAATTTAAGTTAAGTCACCAGTATAAGGCATCATATCACGTACGAAAAAGTACTATACACCCATGTTATGGTATATGATTGCGGTGTACCCAGTTGGCATGCTTTTCGGATTGCTAAATCCTGAACTCTAAGTTTGTTTGGGGGACGCCGCTTTCTGAGCACTTGACGGCTTGTTTAGGTTGCCTGTGTCATGGTAGCAGGAAATACTTGGAGGGTCAGGGGGGCTTAGCAAGTAGCTTCATGCTGAGGACAACTTGGGAAATTATATGCCCTCATTATCCCCAACATTAACCTACTTACTAAGTCCACCTGCCCCTCCAAGAATGCAGAGGATCTTTCGCAAAAGACCGGGCTTTCAAGTTAGGCTACTGTTGATACGAAAAATCCAGCTTGACCTTGGTCTACTTATAGTCCCCCTCAAGTAGATAGAATATGGGGCAACTATATGGGGTATATGGGCACCTTATTATTATATACCCGAAGCCGTTTTCTACCTACTTAAGGGGGACTATAAGTTCCATGATTGCTAGGGTAGAAGGTACTCAGGGTCATGCAGAATCTTCATTTCCAGCGTATGGCATGCGCTGGCCAGTACTGACAGGCAAGACATGTTTTCTGGAACCCCGCCCCTCCGCGGTACAGCTTACAAACCCCCCCCCAAACCTAAACCCTAAACTTTACACACCCCCCGCCCCCCGGTACAGCTAATTCATTTATTCTGGCTTATTACTCTCACAAAGACTCTTCAAGCCTACAGCCAGCCCTACAGCAACAGCAGGCGTAAGGTTCCTACTCAGCAGCCCGTGCACAAAGACAAAAACGTGCAAACCTCCAAGCCTGAAAAGAACAAGAGTGAAACTGAAACCATGTGGGTTTCAGGATGTAGGGTTTAGGGGTTTAAGGGTTAATGGGCTTTAGGGTTTAGGATTAATTCCATCAAGGGCAGCGAGCCCGTCTACGCAACTGGAAACGACAACTGAAGCACATGTACACAGGGTTTCTCAGCAGGGCAATGCCATCGGAGCTCTCTGCACTAGGCTTTATGACCTGCACCCTGCAAAATCGGTTTAGGGTTTAGGGTTTCATAGCCTTGACCCAAACCCAGCGGCAGAAAAGTAGGCATTGGTAGATGGGTACCGGACCTGAGTTGTGAGTTTCTTGGGCTCTGAAAACTTCTAGCCGGTCGGTCCCGCATTCAAACTACCATCCTCTGTACAAGCACCAAAATCGCCATGACACGGACACCTCGAAACAAAAAAAGCATTAAATTGGAACCTTCAGAAGATCAGCAGCGCAAGAGTGTTCCCAGTCAGCTGATGAGAGGCTGCAGACGATACCGGAAGCAATGACGCCCAAGTTGAAACCCCAAAAGAACTCATCGGAGTTGACTCTGCGCATGGCCTTGAGGGCTAGAGGTTTATACCCTCCCGGAAACTAACATGGAAACCCAAAAAGGGCCCTATAAAGACTACAGTCCTGTTAAAGGGGGGCTATATGAGTTTTCATGTTAGTTTGGGGGAGTGTACGGCTTACATTACATGTTCAGGGTGTTGGGTCTGGGGATTAGGCAAGTAAGGATGGTGCTCACGGGCTTCTCTAAACCCTAAATAACAGTTTCCATTCTAATTTTCCATTATCCCCATATCAACCCAACATACTAGTGTAGTTTCCATTATCTTCTCCATTATCTTTATATAACCCCAACATACTATAGTAGTTTCCACTTTTTCCATTGTCACTATACAGCCCTAGACCCTATATAACCCTAATGTTTACGGCGCATGGCCTCCCACTCCGTAGCTTGTTGGTCCTCGGTGGAGGTCTGGAACCTGGCAACATGAGCTCTGGTTAGGGATTGTAATCTCCCTTAAAAACCATATAATAGCCCCCTATACATACTCCCCCATGTACTCCCTTTAAGGAGTTTAGACGATAGCTCACATAAGCCACGACCAAACTCTTCCAACCTTCTTGCACCCATAGAACACATCCGCGAACCGTGTGGGTTTGCATAAATTGGCCGTTTGGGATTGATCCCAGTGGCCGTATGCACAATCAATTAGTCAGCAGCGGTACAGCCATCACCTCTACCATTGCTGCCGCTGCTGTGATCTCTGTGGTGAAAACTAATACTTCCATGCCAAGGCTGCGGCAATTACTAGAATTACCAGCCCATCTACGGCTACTATCACACCTTCTACTCCCCTTCTTATATTACAAGAGCAGGGTTTAGGGTTGAGGGTTTACTATACGAGGAACAACCGGTGGGGTTTGCTGTACAGTCGGTTGACTGGATTACTGTTTCGACGCCTGCCTCAGGCGCACAGGCTTGCCGCCAACTTGTCCTGTGTTGATGCTCTCCTTGCTTGAGGGTTTAAGGTAGGGCCCAATTTGATTAAGAGTGGGATTTGGTGTTTTTGCGCTGCAATTATGAAGGGAGACTGCTCGTAATTATTCAGGATTCTACAGTAGGTGCCTACAACTCCGATCCTGTGCCCACGAAATGTCTCAATATAACAGTGCCTGGCAAGAACCGGCTAATCCATCGCTCAAGCGTGCCGACTGAACCATCAACAATTCTGTGCCTAGCGTTTGAAGGCGTGTGGCTCTCAAATGCCCTGTCTTACACTGCAAAGTGTAATGTCAAGAGACAGATGCCCCCAACCAGAATTCCAGACCCAGAGCCTTTCAATCACTGCTACACTCAAACAACCCTAAACCCGACACTTCTGGGAGGAATGACAGACTAGGATTGTGAAACTCATGATTGATTCTTTCGGGACTCCTCTTGGGATCTTCCTTCGCTCCGTGCTAAACCAGAAGTAAGTGAATCACTTTCTGTGCAACTAAAGAAAACTCTTACCTCTTCACTCCCTCCCTCCTTCTTACATATACATATATATATATCCATTAGTAACCCATAAAAGCAAATGTACAAATACTGCACAATATGTGTGCTGACTACTGACAAGTCTCCGGCGGAAAGTAGGAATCGGCGGGTGCCAGAGATGCGGAACCTTAGCTCTGGTTGGAAGGGAACGCAGGAGTGGATGTTGGGGATTGTATAGAATTTTGGGTTTAGGGTTTAGGGTTTATAGAAACCCAACCCTAAACCCTATGTGGGTCATGGGGGTCCACTGGTTCATTCCTTGGGAACCAGAGGTAAGTAAACCTTAAACCATTACTGGGGCGAGGTGGCACGAAACCCTTTTTCAATCTGTACATCCCCTACCGTACATCTCCCTACATAATCCTATATGAGATCCCTATAAAGGCTCTATATACCCTACCAGATACAAGGATATCCCTGAATACACCCTACAACCCCTATATACCCTACCCGAAACCGTAAACCCAAACCTTAAATCCTACAGCCCAAACCCTAAACCCAGCGGTAAGAAGCCTAGCACCGCCCGCTCCCCGATGCAAGTGCCAGGCATAAGCACGCCATGATCCTTGGGCTTCATGGACTGGGGCTTAAGGGTGTAGGGCTTAGGGTCTAGGGTTAAGGTTCAAAGCTTAGTGTATAGGCTTTAGGGAGAAGATAGAAGGAGCTATATAGGGTTATGTAGGGGTTCAGGGTTTCAGGATTTGAGGTTTTAAACTTTAGAGCCCTAGGATGCAGAGTTTTAGGCTCTAGAGCTTTAGGACCTTGAGCTTTCAGCTAGATGCTGCGGAGCTGTGGGCCTAAACCCAAGACCCTAAACCAAATAGGAGCTTTGGGTTTTGAACGTAGAAGGCTTCAGGAAGGGTTTTCCCGACTTGAAGGCGTTAGGTTTAGACTATTAGGGGCTTCATGGAGGTTTCCAAAAATTAGGGGTACCTTTTTGGGTGTCCCTATACTAAGGACTCCAGATTTAGGGTCTATCTTGGGTTACCGCTGCTATGAAAACTACCTCATCTCATCACTCGTGTGTTTCTACGACGGCTCTTTGGCACCATGGTCGCACCACAAGGCTCATACCTATTGGCACCACAATGACGGTTGATAGGATGATGAGCAAGTCGTCTAATGCGAATGATATGCCGCAACTCTCAACTGCCTATGTCAGTTCCCTTGTCTGACATCACAAGAGCTTGAACACTAAACGCTCATCCGTGCAAAGCTGCAAGCCCAACTGTAAGGCTTTCGGCAAACAAAAGTACAGAGGTCCCCATCCAAAATGCTTGGAGGTTCAAGGTAAAAACACCCCGACTGTAGTTGTGCTGGTAAACCAACTTTCGCCCCCTCACATGCCGTGATATGATGATGACTGGGTGTTATAAGTTACAAGTAGCAGATATATTTACATCAGAATTTTCATGAACCACCACGTGGGGTCGTTACCACAGGGCCAGCGAAAGTGGAGACGAACAACCTAAACCCTATACACAAACCCTAAAACCCCAAACCCTAAACCCTAAAACCCTAAGCCCTAGACAAATGCTGACAAGCTCAAGGCAAGGGTCCAATACGTTTGCGCCCCGCAGCAGTTTCACTTCCTGCCTGAAAGGATGACGCAGGGGTTTAGGGTTTGGGGAGATTTTTCAGGCGCGCAGCTTGGGAGTATTCAAATAGCATAATCTTAGTTTTTTGTTGACTCTGAGAAGTAGGGGAATTCTGTGTAGGTGGCCAGTAAGGAAGCGTGGGAACAACTTCGCATAGGACCCACATCCAGACCCGAAGCATTCCATAAACCCTGAAGGTTTAGGGTTTATAGGGTTTAGGGTTTACATCAAGACCCGAAGCATTCCATAAACCCTGCAGCTGTATGAATGGCATTTCAGATGGAAACCCACAAATACATTGAAGTCTAAGCCCCAAAACTGTGCAAATCAGCAAGTCCCGTT